AATTGTTGAATCAGATAAAGGAATATTTCCTCGTAGACATTGTGGATAAGCTAGTATTCCATTGTTTTTTCGAAGAACGAGCGATCGTCGAGCCTGATTTGACTTTGAGTTGAACCTGATAAGTGAAAAAAGTTTTTAGTAACATTTGATTGGAAAAATGCGAAGATATCGGACGAAATGAGGATAGAATACGCACCATTTTTCAATTTTTTGTCGACCCCATTCTTTGGGAGCAATTGTCATCAAACGAACTTGTTCACTGTCATTACTATCAGCATATAACTTCTTTAATCCATCCAAAAGATCATTTGATTCACATATCCTTAATCCATGAGGATTTGGATCATACGAAACTTGAGATTTTTCATCTAATACGTCACATAATCGATTAAGTTTTCTATGTACCTCATCGACTTTGGCTCGAATGCGTAATACTGCTGATCTAAATACAAATTTCGTTTCAGAAAATTTAATTTAAATTTACAAATCTAACCTGTCATGGATCGGGTCTATGTTCAATAGTTGAAATACATTTGATAATTGTTCCATCGCTTTTTCTTTTTGATGTTCAAGTTCATAAAAAGCATGGCATGTATCTTCATCCATTGATTCAGGATCAGTTGTTTCATCAACACGTGGTGATTCATCATCGTCGTTTGACTCAGCTGTGATACCACTGTCCATATGTGGATTTTCTTTCTCTTCTTCATTCAGATCATTAAATTCAACATTGACATAATCATCATCATTTCTGTCATCATTGACAGGAGAATCTTGTGTCATTGATTCATCATCACTTGAACTTTCATTATCGTTGAACTTCTCTGATTGATGAGTCATCATTTTCTTCGATTCAAATGTATGACATCTTGCACATAACCAGCAAATTCGGGTTTAAGGCATATCATACTGACTAATCAAAAATTTCGATAGTTCGGATGATACGGCCTTTACTCCTTTTGGTACGCATCCAGATTTTTCATGCTTTATCGGATGTTCACAATTTTTTCGTCGTGGCATTGGAATAGATTTTTAAAGATAAAGAGATACTGATGGGTAGTCGATATTTTCTAATATCCAACGATTCATCTCGTAATCTTATTCGTGTGAAATCACAACATTTTTGAACAAGACTCTATATCTAAAGATGTCCTTAAAGAGAAATGGAATATCTATCATTTCGATAGTAGAGTCCCTTTCGATTCCATGGTCTCACTTTTTGAAGACGGTATACTAACAAATCCTTCTAGTTATCAGGGCGAAGTTGTCAGTATGATTTCGTTCTGTGTGGATAGTATCATGAAAGTTGTTATATTCCACGAGGCGAAGAAAATAAAAATTATTCAATTTAATTGAATACAATCTATGTTGACGAAATATAGCTATTGATATGTTCAGAGAAAATGACTAAGCATTGAAAACCTCCATTAGGATTGATCTGATGTACCTCAAGAAACATGTTTCTAGACTTT